ATATCACAAGGCTTTTTTAATTGTTTGTGTCTGCTATTGATTATAGGTGTCAGAGTTTAGCCTTTGAAAAGGATCTTTAAAGGGAGGAGATCATAAATTAGCTTTTATCATTTACAGAGACATTTTTCACCTCTCACGCATTGAAAATTAACCACTGAACCACCTCGGAATAGCTTCAAACCACATCTAGTACTGTTGTTTTTAATCACATTAAGTTACTTTTTTTTATTTTGCTATGCAAATCCATCCGTCTTGTTTCTAGCTATTAGCGCGTCAGCGATATAACTGATTCTTTTTGTTTGTTTACAACAATGCTAATTATAATTGCGTCTATTTGCACCGTCTTTAGACATCGTGAACCTTGCTTGATACTCGAAAATCCAGTCGATAATAGTCCAGTCCACCTCGTTTCTGATAACACGTTTCGTTTGTCGGAATAGAAAGTAAACAAACAGAGCTCAAAACCAAACAATAATCACGCCTCCTTTACTAACGCGAGAGTTAAAAAAATGAATATTAAAATATTCATTTTCAACATAGCCCGCTCCACGATCTCTAAAGAGAAAATAAAGGGTCTGTGAACAAGCTATTTTGAACGTACATTTTCTAAAATGCTTTCAAAACAATAGCAAATCACATCTCGTAATACTTTAGGCCACTCTCGCATTCGTCGGACTGGGGCCGAGACGTAGTCGTACCTCTAATCATCTGACTAAAATTTTATTCATGACGCTTTTAAGGAGATGTTATGACGTAATATTTTACTTGTTTTTATTTTATTTTCTATCGGAAAGTGGTCAGAAAAAAAAACATAGGATAACGAACTGTGCCAAACTGCAAAAAGTTTTCCATAAAATTTCAAGGTAAGGAAATCAAATAACCTCGAGTCTTTTAAGCGTAATTGTTATTATTTTCAATGCTGTTAGTCGGACTGTTAAAATCAAATGACCTCGTGACTTTTTAGCGCTAATTTTTATAATCTTTTTAAAAGTTCTTTGTTATCATTTAGGTTTTTAGTGTAGGAAATTTATTGTGGCTTTTTATCGTGTTACACTTCTTTTTATCTTTTTATATTCTCTATTTTCACGAAATAAATGAACTTGACAGAGCTGGGCCTAAGAATTTCAGCACCGGTCAATGTTGAATATCTCAGAATCAAGACTGCTAAAGGTCGCTAAACCATGTTAACTGCCGAAAACTGGCACAATTCCTTGCGAAATTCGACAAGGACACCAGAAAACAATAGTCTGCGTGCAGACTTGCGAAAAAGGGTCAGCAGCAACTGAAGGAAATGGGAGACAGACAAAACGTCTGCACAAGCACGCAGGCGGCCAGAAAACAGGAGAAATGGCAACAATCCAGAGAGAATTACTGGCGTCAATCCGAACTAGCGGCTGAACCAGACAGTGATCAAATTGTGAGGATACGAATAAAAAAAATGCGGAAAGTTTGATTTCAGAATTGAAAGGGCGTCTTCTTTGTGGCTGTCTAGACAAAATGCAACTCTTCCTCTTACCAGTTTAGGTTGAAATCTGTTTAGCAAGTTGCATACATAGTTTGGCCGATGCAAGAAAAAAAAACGTAGGAAGAATGGCCTCATGGAAGAAACGTCACTTAACTGCGCGGGAAGGATCCAAGAATTTTTAATCCGTTAATCCAATTATTACACCATTAAAATTTGTGCTATGCTGACATCAATGAGAATGAATGGGTTAAAATTGTAGTCTCAAACAGGTCATGACTCGTTTGATGCCTAGTTTTAGTTCAAGGGTCTGATTAACTGCTCATTTAATGGGCGAATTACATGGTTAAACTTTTGGTGAAAACCGCATACATGCCAACTCTCCCGGATTATCCGGGAGTATCCCGGATAAGACAACAATCTCCCGGTCTCCCGTACGGGTCACCAAATCTCCCGGATAAAATCGAGTTATGAGCTTTTCTGTGCTTTAATTTGGAATTTATCCCATTTTCTCCCAAAATTCGAATTTTCTATGATTCAAAGTTCGGTTTCTGGGGTATTTTCGCACGTATTTTAACACTGACAAAATCCTGAAAGCTAATTGTGATGGTCTATAACTCATGCAAGACTTCATAATAATGTCCTGAGCCGATTAGGGACTGGATCGAATTGTGTTTATGGGGGAGGGGGGGGGGTTGATCATTGATATTTGGGGGGCTAATGCAAAAGAAAGAGTCTCCAGATTTTAGATTTCCAGAGGTTGGCATCTCTGAAACCGGGTGAATTCAAAACAAACTAAATATCATAAAAACTTAAAAGGGGTAAATATATGAACCAGTCTGCTAAAGAGTGAGAGGGAACTGATGTAGATCACTATAGACTTTGCTAATCCTCAACTATCTTCGTAGGGGATTACACCAGAGTACAGCATTGCGGAAATTTCACTAAAGAAAAATAATGCCGCCCAAAATTTATGTACGTGAGGCAAATGGGGCACAGCAATAATCTGAAGAAGAAATATAACGATTTTGAATCACAGCAAATAATGAAGAAGTTGGGAGTGAAGTGTGATGGCATGTTTCAAGTTGTAAATGAATGATTCAATTAAATGACTAGTTTTTTCAGACTCCGGTTCAGCCGAGCAAAGTCCATAGCACTTACTGAGGAAGCCAAATGGCAGTGAGTTAACCCTTTAAGCCCTAAGAGTGATCAGCATCAAATTTCTCCTTGTAATATCAATGCTTTTGTTAAACAGAGTGATCATGAGAATTATGGACATGATCACACAAGATGAATTTGCTTGATATTTTATCAACTTCTCCCTACTACTTCTGTAGGAAATTAATAGGGGCAACAAATGAGAATTCAAATCTTGATCTTAGGGTTTTAAAGGTTTAAAACTGAAATGGTGAGTTGACAGTAAAGTTTACTGTCAACTCCTCACCATTCAGACCATTCATCTCATAATAAAAGCAATGAAAAAAGACAGTGTGGTAGGTTATAAAAGCTTAAGCAAGTGGTACAAAAATGTTGCCCATTTACCTTGGGCTGTCTTTCTCGAAAAAGAAGCCTCCACTGTTTCAGAGCTCACCAGCCAATTTCTACTGATTATCATTAAATACCCTGCTACACATATCTAATTTTCTTCAGTAATCACCCAACTTCTGTTTTCTCTAAAATAAAGAAAAACCCGTCTAAATGTTTAATAACTTTGATTTCTCTAAGGATATATCACCATAATGGGGCATCTTCAGTTGGAATGAGTGAGATCTGGGCTACAATTACGAGCCTGTGGCAGGCTTTCTGTTGAGGGAATACTCAAGCAATGCAGCCCACCCCCTCCCTCCCAAGTCTCTATGAAGTGTCGGCGTAGGTGTATACATTTTATGCATGGTTCAATTTGACCTGTTACCATCCCCCCCCTCCGGCAAATCAAAAATAACTTCCCTTTGATTTTGTAAAGTACATGTCTTTTCTCGTGCAGTTTACACAATGGCTGTAGCCTGTGAGCAAGCTCTCCTATTTGGGCGAGCAAAGCAAGCCCCACAACAACGCGTGAGCGAGCAACAAAGCCACGAGGAGAGCCTGCTCACAGGCTATGATGGCTGCAGACCTCAAGACTATCTATTTTTAAGGAAAAATGCAGGAGTTTGTGGGAGAGTGGTTGGACAGGAATAACTTATCAAAAGTCTGTATTTAAAGGAATATTTTAAAATTTGAAACAATTGAGCATATGATGCGTGCTTGGAAGGATTTTATTTTTTGGAAAAGAAGGACAGAAATATTTCTTCAGCATAGCTTTAATAGTAAGAACACTTATATGAAAACAGATTCAAGGCTTTTAAATTAAATGTAAAGATAAACAGAGATTCAGTCCAGTGTTCTCATGATGCATTCCATCAAGGAGGCACTTCAGTTTTCAAATTTATTGTTCATGTTTTAACTACATGACAGTCATTTATCCTTCTCTCAATAAACTCTGGAAAACGTTTATAAAAGTTGTGAAAATGTCTCATTTTGTTTTTTACAGATCAAAAAGAAGTACCCAAAAAAACGTATTTGAGGTTGATCAGGAGCTGGGGGTAGGGAATAGACCTCCAGGAAAGAAAAAAACGAAAATCCCCGCGGGTATGCCCAAGGGGGGCATGGTTACAACTTAAATTGAACCATTCATTAGATATAAACTATCAGGAAGTTCAACTTTAGGAACTGAAAGCCTGCTGGTCAAATGGTAAAGTGAAATGTTTTTTTTTTTTTTTACAGTTGATGACAGGCTGATGATTGTATATGTTGCAGTTAATTTTTTACTTTAGCTAATCTTTGTTTTTTCATTTATTCATTAGCATATATTAACATACCCAAAAACAATGGAAAAAGAGAAATTAACAGAGATAAAAAATTAACTACAACACATACATATCGTTTTCATGCTCCATGGTCGTTACCAAGAGAGTCAAGCCGAGAATTCTCTCTTGCTGTTACTTGATAGTGGTTATAAAAACTGAAATTTTCTCCAAAAATTGGCATTTAAAATTTTCTATTGCAGATAAGAGAAATACCCGTCAAAGAGAACGGAGAGAGAATTAAAAGGAGAAACCACTCAAATAAATTTTGCAACAAAATGACCTTTTTTTAAATTTAGAGTTAATTAATAACTTCGTTCGACTACAGCATTAAGTAAATATATTAAGCGTTAAAAGACTACCCTAAGCTCACATTTTGCCTCCGTTTATAGCTTCATATAGCGATCCGTCATAAGCAGAGCTTAATAATCATCGTTCGCGACAGATCAACTTCGTGGACTGGCCATGCCATTATCTAGGAGTTTTGGAGAACAAACACACTCACCTCTTACTTGCCACAATGCCACAATATATCTTCAAAAGAAAAGGATCGAAGGACTGGAGGCACGACAATATTGCAACCACCTCATCAACAGTAAATACAGAATATGTAGAAAAGTCTAAAAAAACAGGTGCTTTGAGAGACTTTAAAAGAGAGAGACTGGATCGATTTTTTTTGCAGGTAGGAACGCCTGGTAGAAAATAGCGTTATTCAAAAAGCTGACTCCGTAAAATTGTATCGTATGATGTTGCTTCATGTCGTTTGCAAAGAGTAAAGCTTTTAAGGAGAGAGAACAGAATGCAAGAGAAAGAGTCAGAGAAGTTGCTAAACAAGATCTGGTGGCAGATTTATGCAGGTGTTTATGTATTAAGCTTACATAAATTTGGTATCTTGCATTGGCCGTACGGCGCTGGCTACAGGCTAGGGTTGAGCTTGAGTTGTTTTCCGTTTGTTTTTTGGTGTTTTAATGTATCGTAAATCCTTTTTTTTCTACTGAAATTATATAGGTTGTTTGGAGATACAACTTTCAGCGACGTGTTATTCATTGTAAAGAATGTAGAATTTCAAGCTCACTCAGTTGTTCTTAGAGCCAGAGCACCATGTTTCTGTCGACGTTTTCTTCCAAACCATACTTCGCCGGCGTCTGTCCAAACTTGCGTCCAAATAAATGGATTAGAAGCTGCTGAATTCGAAGCATTTCTAAGGTAATGATTAATGACCTAAAGCCACGTCTTAAGCGCTGTCAACCCCCCCACGTCTTCAAATATTGAGAATTGATGCGGGAGGGATGATAAATTACGTCATAATGCAAACGGCACATGACGTCTTTTGTGGAAAAAAACGCGCGAAAAAAATATTGTTGGAATATTGTAACATTTGACCTAACTAGCTCACTTCCCACCAATCACGTTATTACTTATATTACAATGGCATACCAGAGTTTGTGAGGAAACGTTCGTTGTTAACAGTAAAATAGCTCGAACAACGCAATTTTGAAATAATTTTGTCAGAAAGTCGATTCTACAAGAAATTTCAAACTTTGGCGATTATCCAGGAGATTTCAGACTCCAATCTGGGGACTGGGAGAAACAGTTCAAAATCTGGAGTCTCCCGGATTATCTGGGAGAGTTGACAGCCCTGCGTCTTTGCTTATGCGCCTGGAAAAGGGTCATCTTTACAGTATCGCTGAGATAATGATATTGCGATGTGCTAGAAAACAGTCTGCTACTTACCATGCTTGTTAGAAAAGTAGCTACCCACTCTCAGCCTTCCTTCATCCTGAAGATCTTTTGTCGCTGCTAGATTCAGCTTCTAGCTGCTCCACAGAAGGCTGTGCATAAAATTAGACTTATAAGGTGTAGTAAATTTAAGACAAGATCTTTGGCCTATATCAGTCATGCAGGAACTCACCTTGGAAGGCTGTTCCAAGAACTTTGTTGTACTCTATTTTGCTTTTCCTTAAATATTTCCTATTGTCTGCATTGAGTTACAGCCCATCTCCACCTCCCTGTCCTCCACCAAACCTGAAAATTAATGCTATACACCTTATTCTCAGATATCATAATATACTAGGAACTATGAAAGGAATGTTGAATTATTGAAATTACATGCGTTTTGAATTATTGACACTTTTACAATCACTACACCCCAACACTGGTATTTTCACTGTGCTACGTGACTACCTACCTTGGTGAAAACTGGGTTCCATTCAGAGACCTATCCAGAAATGTTTCCATGCATAATCAAACTGATGTAATTGTGTACCATCTAATACTGTTGTTTCTAAAGGTCTTGTTACACTGATGATGATTTTAAAGACTACAAGGAATCCAGCTATCCATGGAGAAAGCAGATAACAGCAGACTCAGATCAGCAAGAATATGTTACTTGCGTAAATGAGCAAACGGAAGTCAATGCAGTTCCTCAAGATAATATTAGTGGAATTTCCACTCAGTTTGGCTGCATGACTACTGGTTATAAACAAGATCCACCCACCCAAAATTTTGTTCAACAAGTTAATGTCACAAATGCACAATTGGATTGGAATGTAGAGACTTCTGTTAAAGATGGAATTGTTGGTGATGTTGATGGTATAAAAGTAGATTCTTCAGAAACAAGTAGTAGTGGTGCTGACATTGTTCCTAGCAGACCATTTCAATGTAGGTCTTCCTGTGAAACTACAATAAATGCTAACTACTTCAATGTTAATTCTGGCTGTTCATCTTTAATAATTACAAGTAACGATAACAACAATATTGCTGATCCAGTTGGAGCTTCTCCTTTACAAGTGGACTGCACAAATCAGTGCTATAATGACTTGGTTGATCATGGTAGTGAGGACCATACTAATGATTTAGGCTGCCAGCTGGTTCAGACTTCAAGCAGTGTAGACAAAATTAACAGTGCGTGCAGTACACCACTTTCTAATGGCAATCTGGTTAAGAAAGACAATATTGTCCAGAATGAAGGCAATGAAAATTGTCTTCAATCCAATCAAGGATATGGTAAGCTAGAACTGAATCACTCATCAACAAGGGAAATCTTCACGGGAGATATAAATGCAGAGGTTAGAGCAATTTGCCAAAATTTATTCTTGGCTCCTTGTTTCTTCTTATTTAGGAACCGATAATCAAATTTACGTTTTTTTCCTCAATTTGTAGTGCTGCAATATTGGCCAGGATTTGCTGCGATTGTTAATCAGTGATGCAGGGTCTGATGTTACATTTGTGATAAATGGAGGCAAGGTAAAAGCACACAAGTAAGTGCTGCTGCCATACTTATCAGACCACTTTACATTATACATATTGTCCTTCTGAAATCTGACCAGGAATCAGGTAGACAGAGAACCACTATGTGGATGTGCTACCTCTAAAATATTATTTATTTATTTATTATTTATTAATGGTTGTGGCTGCCAAACATCTTTCTGCCTGCAATAATAATAAATAATAAACTAATTATTAGTTTATGGTGCCAGCAGAATGTCTGAAGGGGAAACTAAATTCCCATTCTAAGGCAAACTATGTAATTCCACAGTTAATCCTTAATTCTATATTTGATGTTGAATATTATTGTAGAGCCATTCTCTGTGCACGTTCCAATTACTTCTCAGCCATGTTGCATGGGAATTGGGTTGAAGGAAAAACTAATGAGATTCCTTTGATTGGGTGAGTATGTACAGTTTGACCAAGAACTGTTTAAATATTGACTCTTTTAAAAGTAGACACATATTATAACAATAACAACATATTATGTTGTTCTAATTTTTTATTTCAGTTAATTTTTATTCAATATCCATTGTTTTGGGGTATGGAAATGTATGCTAGTGAATTTAAAACAAAGGAAAAACAAAAATTAACTGGAATAAAAAATTAACTGCAACATATACATCACCTTAGGAACTGATTTTCAAATTAAATATAGTTAAGTCTGAGTTAATTAGCAAGATGCATCATATTAGAAGAGAGGCCTCTAGTTCAGTTAGGTTGTGGATCACTTTTTTCCTTTGCTTTGAAAATGGTGCATTTTGACATTTTGTCTTGCAAATTGGTATGACCTTATCTCTTGAAATCCCACCTCAACCACTCACTCACTCACTTGCCCACTCATCCTCTTCATCCTGGCTGTGAACCAATGCCACAAAATCCTACCTAAAGCTACTCAATTCTCAGATATTTAGACTAATAGTATCACCAATAGTATGGTATCTTTTGGGGAGTTAGCATGGCGCAGTGGTGAGAGCACTCACCTCCCACCATTATGGCTGGGGCTTGAATCGTGGTGTCAGAGGCCATATGTGGCTTGAGTTTGTTGTTGCTTCTCTCCCTTGCTCCAAGAGGTTTTTCTCCAGGTACTCCGGTTTTCCTGTCCTTATTTACCAAATATACTTCCAAATTCCAATTCAATCTAGAATGCACTGACACATTTCAACAAGTTCTAAAAGTGCTCTGTGGGTAACCAAATTAATGCAAAATTGCAAAATTTCCTCTAACTAATTTTCAAATATTATTGTCTTGACTGTACATGTTTATTTATTTATAGAGTGAACTATGATGGCTTCATGACTGTGCTTAAGTACATGTATGGAGGAACAACTAACATTGGTAGTGATTTGGCAGTTATGTGGTGAGTTAATCTGCTCATATAATAATATTGTTCATAATAGCATTGAGAGTACATTAAATAATTTAGTCATCATTTTTATGGATGATAATGATGATTATGATTATTATTATTATCATCATCATCATAATATGGCATCAAATTTAAGGTGGCTCCGTAATTAATACAAGAGCATTTAGCTGAGACAAATTTTCCGTCATAACTTTTTCGATTTTAACGCGATGGCTGCGAAACTTTGCAAAGAACAACAGATATCATTCGGCAATAATACGAAATATTCCGATTTCATTGATGGTAAATATTTCTTGAGAAATTAGCGCTTAAAAGGACCCTACTGTTCAAAAAATAAAAATAAAAAAATATCAGCAAAATTTTTTACTAGAAGCGATTTTCTTTGAACAGTAGGGTCCTTTTAAGCGCTAATTTCTCAAGAAATATTTACCATCAATGAAATCGGAATATTTCGTATTATTGCCGAATGATATCTGTTGTTCTTTGCAAAGTTTCGCAGCCATCGCGTTAAAATCGAAAAAGTTATGACGGAAAATTTGTCACAGCTAAATGTTCTTGTATTAATTAAGGAGCCACCTTAAAGGTAATTATGTATTTTTGCAGTGACACATTATCCCTTGTTGATATGTACAACCTGGATGGGCTGAAAGAAATCATAGTCTGCAATTTAAGAATTGAAAAATGTCATTTGTTTCATAAGGTAAGAGTGTCAATATTGAGCAGTGTATTTTCTTGTTCATCTACAGCTCTTATTAGTAATATTCTTGCTCAATGCATTCCTGGTTTGTACTGTAAGTTATGCACTAGTAATTTTCCTCTTGGATTTATGGCCCATGTAAGAAGCATGCAGGTCAAAAAATTCAAAGAGGAAAGCAGTCAAGTCAAATTCTGTTTTTGGCCATACTTCCACTAAAATGCTGTTAACTGTCAACAAAACGGAACCATTATAGAATTTTCTTGCTTCACTTTTAAGTAATGTAAACTGCAATACATGTTTCTTTATTTTGATATTATGAGCTTTTTATTTTTTCCTGCAGCCCTGTGGTGAATGTATAACAGGCATCTCTGAGTGTTTAGAAGTATCAGAACTCTTCAATCTCACTGAACTCAAGAAATCTTGCATCAAGTATGCTGATTTTGTGATATTTCTGTAAAAAGTGACGTTATTTTTCTACCAGAGAAATAATTTTCCGACATCATGTTGCATTACATTTTTTCCTATGTAGCCTACCTTTTTGTCAACATGCAACTCTGTTTCTGTCTTGCTAGCCTTGCTAGCCTTGCTTTTTTTTTTTTTTTGACTTTTCCAACTTTTATTAAAAGAAAAGTTGCCCTGCATAGAACAGTCACCAGCCTCCCCTAGCTACCCTGGACTATCCAATATTTTAAACAAATGTGGCGGATCGTTAACATGAGAAACTAAAAGTTGGCTCAGTTAGAGGGTCGACCAGCATAGCAAGGTCACCCTTTTCTAATGATAGGGTCACCTTTGTAGCTGAGGCCAACTTTTCTCCATAAAAAGACTTTGGGTTGCCAAGCCACAGACGCCGATCTAGGATAAATACTGACTGATTTCCTAGCCTCAGAAAACAGCCGACATTTGGCAAAGCTACCACTGGTTTCCCCACCAAATGAAATCTGAGAAACGAGGGCAGAAATTCCATACTGATGACGCATCACTACCCAGATCTGTTGGTTGAATCAAAACTCCCACGCGGCACGACCAATCAGAAGCACTACCCAGATCTGGGCAGTGATGCGTCATCAGTATGGAATTTTTGCGCTCGTTTCTCAGACATCATTTGGCGGGGAAACCAGTGGTAGCATCGCCAAATGTTGTCTGTTTTCTCAGGCTAGTGATTTCTTAAACAAGCGCCAAATGCTCAAGCTTCCAGCAGGGTACAGTGCAGGCTCCCCAAGGATATTTTTTTTATTTTTACTCCTTAAAGTCCCCTATCCTGGGTTTCCGAGTCATTCAGACAGGATATTGGCCAGATTTCATCTTGCAAAGTGTTTTTATTATCATTAAAAATATATTTATTATGAAAAATGTGATCGATTTCCGTAAACCGGTGTGGATCCACGCCTGACCGGGTCAACTCAGTCAGGGGCACCCAACGACAATTTTCGGAAAATTATCTGTTCGGAAGACGATTTGAGATCTAGAATTTTCGGAGCATTTTCTGTAAAATTTCTTGCTTGCCTGCTTCTCCTAGGATTTTCGAACATCAAAAAAAAGGTATAATTGCCCATTTTTAACGGATTTTTACCCTAAAAAGGTCACCTAGAATTTTCGGGAGCCTTTTTTCTGGCTGAAATTTTCGGAAAGGTAGATCTTGATCCCTATAATTTTCGGATCACTATACTTTCAGCTAGGAAATCCAAACAGATGAAAAATTTTTAGGGGATAAAAATAAGCCTTTATATACTGTTTAAATACTAAAGTACGTTCAACAATGCTATGTTTATGTGGTTTTGAACTATATTCTCGTTGGGTGCCCCTGACTCAGTCAAGACGAGATAATCAGAGCATGCGGGAGCGCTGTTTCAGACAATCAGTGCATGTGCACACATTGTTAGCTCGGGCAAAGGAGTCAAGTTTTTTTTCTCATATATTAAATCACTCACTAAAGTTGACTCGGCAGTGAGGGTTAGGAACTGAACGTTTTTGTTTTTGTTTTTTTTTTTTTCAGATGGATGGCAAAACACTTTGATCGTGTTCTGGTCACCAAAGGATTTACCACACTGCCTAAGCACCTTCAAGAAGAGCTGCTGCTGGAAATAGAGGGAGGCTTTGTAAGTTGGTCCTTTAAACAGTATGTCTTCAGACAGTGATAGGTCCTTGAATTAAGGAGATAAGCAATAAACAGCAGAGTATCAGGAGTATGAAAGATGACGAGGATAAGCGTACCACCATTGCGTTCCACACTCCCTTCTTGCTAAACGATAATCAGCCGGCGAACAACTGTGCTGACAGAAAGCGGAAATCGTGCGCAAGAAAGCATAACGAAGCCCCAAGATCGTCTGCGTGGGAGGCTACTACATGTAAGTCTTCCTACAGAAATCGCGCGAGGGAGCCGCGTAATTCACTCCCTGTGAAAATCGCCTGAGCTGACTTTCTTACTGAAATATTCTAAACTTTACTCATCAAACAAACTTGTCTGCAGGTTATTTCTTCAGCCATTGAAGTACTGAATCACTGTGATAGAATTTCTTCCTGTACGCCGCTTGTCAAGTGGACTGCGCCCATCCATGTAGCTGTCTCCTCCATTCAAGAATCATGTCTCCTGTTCATCTCCAGTAACTTTTTTTCTTTAATTGATGAAACGAGTTTTCATGAAGTTCTCAAGGTAAATTAACGCTTATATTTTTTCTTGTCTTTAACCACGCTTGTCGCGTACGGTTTCAGGGTGCCGACCCGGGAAGGAGAGGGGGGGCACTCAACAAAGTTTTATTCGGGGAGGACTCCGCCCGAGGTCCAACACCCTACCCTTTTATATACCATTTTTGAGAGAAAAGGTACCCCTTTCGTATACCTTCTTCTGACAAATGATATCCCCTTCACATACTTATTTTAGAACTTTGCGTCTCTTTTTCACGGTCATAAAATCCTTTGGGTCCTTTTGCAGACTGAAATGACAGATTTCCCTTCCCTTTCATAGACTTCAACTAATACAAATTTCTGCTCTTCATATACCTTAAACCTGAAAAAAGTTCCCCTTTCGGGCGAAGCCCCCGGATCCCGTATTGGCCATTCTAGAGATTATACTTCATAGACATTTTATGCGCGGCCTTCGGTTTTGGCTTGGTTTTGGTCAAGTGGCGCTGCTCGTTGGTTTGTCGGTTGGCCGAACATTATCAGGCTCCGACCGACTTCCCGAAGCAACCCGCTGTACGCGCGCGAGAAAAATCTCTGTTGCCCGGGTAGTTCTGGGATGATTTCAGCGTAAATTTCATTAGCAGAATGCGCTACTACTCTGAGCTATATCGTACACAAACGTGTATCTAGTCGTGTGCAAGCTGCGTCTACGAATAACGATTTTATCAGGTTTTTCAATGTTCTTCTTCTTTTTGTATTTCAGGGTGTAGGCTGGTCGATTCCTGTTTTAGAGAAGATTCTTTCTGCTGTGAAAAAGCACCTCGCAATTGATAATTGTTGTGATCAGCTTAGGGCCATTCTTGAGTTAAAAAGGCTTCTTCACCTAAGGAACATAGAGGAAGGCAAGGAAAGCTTTCCAGAGGTGAGGAGCGTTTTCTGCACAGCCAGGCAAAGAAAAAAAAGGACCAAAAAAGTGATGCACGACCAGAGTTTTCAGTTTACTTTGTTTATCCTGTGGCCTTTTTGACGTTCTTGCTGGCCTGATTTACATGTTTTGCGCCGTTGTAGTTGAGTCAACTTGTTTCTACTTCGAGTCCAATCAATTCTTGCAACGCTTGCTACAAAGAAAATTTTTTTGCGAGACTTAGTTACATCATGAAGTGTTTGTCTAGGCAATGCTTTGTAGAACTTGTTTGGCAATGGTTTCAGTAACACAATTTCGAGGCAAATTGGAAGAAAAATGCCTGATTCGTGAAAAATTCCTGTTTCTTTAGATTTAATGCAAAGTATTTATGCATATTTTTTGTGTGCAGGGGGAAGGAACACAAAAAAGGTTTCAAAATGCGAAGGCACTTGGAAAGGCTAGACGTGAAAAACTAATTTTCGCCTTTCCTATGACTCTTGCACCGCGGCTGCAGCTGAAAATGCCAAGAAGGACTCTATATGAGGCGGGAAAAATGCCTAGAGTGAGATTGTGAGAGGGTCTTCAAGCCTTGCTATGGCCTGAAGAGATATAAGGCAGTTTCCTCTGAAAGAACCTGTCGATGAGAGCACAAAGCTAGTCTTATGGGAACTTGTTACTAATATAACCACAATATACTTACTGATAGCTCTATACAAAAGTGGCCAAAGCTTATAACGGAGATTGCTCGTACTAATAGTCACAGAGAAGCGGTAAATAAATCCTAGTAGTTTGAACGCTAGAGTAGCTATTTCTGTACCGTTTCATGGTTAAAAATGTTTTTGGTTTGTTACAGGAGGTAGACGACCTGATCGTGCGTTTACACAGCGATTGCTTGAAGTTCATAAGGTGCAACCTCTTTAAAGTGACTCGATCGGAGGGCTGGAGAAGATTGAAGCCTCCTACTCAACGAGATATAAAGGAAGGTAACTGAATAATTAACCTCGAGCGATGAAAGAAGCTGGTAGGAACGCTGAACCCTTAATTTAACATACCCTAGCGGGGTTTATTGTACGGATTTCGACCCTGCTTGCCAGAAGTCTCAGTTTTCTAATCCTCTCTCTCTCTCTCCTTTTCTTTTGGGTATCTTGGGCGTGCTTAATGCATTCAAGCCTTCAGGAGGCTTTAGGTTGACCGAACTCTAAATTTAACATTTCGGTCGGGTGGTTTCTAGGCTTTGTATTTTACTTTACAATTTTTCTATAGGCGCTGTGTTCAGTGGCCTCACTGACTCAGGGAATCGGCGTGGAGCTCAAAAGGATACTGTTGGGCGAAACTCGGTGCCGGTAAGATTCCCTGATACAAAGTTTTGATACTGTTAGTTTATTAATTGTCTTACTTGTTGGCTGATCAGCTTTTATAGGACGCTCACGATCAGTAGTGCACTATAATCGATAGGACTTTTTTAGGGTAGGTTGTTTATATTCCCGCAATGGGTCTGGTTTAGTTTATGTTGTAGAGTAGTGGTCTTGAGCACTGGTCAGGGCGGAGGTCCCAGTTTCGATCCCAAGCGCCTGACTAATTTTTAGGGTCTAAAGTATGGTTGAGGAAGAAGGTTTTGAAAAATAACTAGTCCTTCGCGTAGCTCAGATGACCACTTAGAAAGGCGGTTTCGTCCCCAGTAAAGGTAAAAAGACAAAGGCGAATATGACCCAATAAGAAGCCCACACGTCTGAAGTTCTGTCAACCTTGTTTCTGTGGCATAAAACACCATGGAGTATTTCTACTCCATGCCGATAACCCAACCAAATAAAAGGAACTTTTCTATCATTTGTAAAACGGGTTGAAGAGAGCATAGGGAAGCAAAGTTTCCTGTGTAAACAAACAACGCGACGGCAAGGCTTGAACCGTGGACGTTCTGATCCGAAGATGGAGGTGTTAACCGCTCCGCTACCACGCCCCGTCCCCATAAGAGGGTGTGAAAAACGACGTCCTCAATTAGTACTTCATGTTTAATGTATTTACATTTGGCGGAGCTAAACGAAGTTCGAACCGCACACCCATTCCCGTCTCGTAGTCGTGAATATAAATAGGAATACATTGACACATGGACTGTATTTCACTTTATTTTCCCCTTTTTGACAGCCCTCAAGCAGGTCAGCAACTACAAAACCTTCCCAAAGAGTTGGCCTTGATTCCCGCACCAGAACAATGGGGAGAGGAAGTTCCGCAACTAATCCTCCAAGGCCCTCCATGGCCAGAGTCGGCAACTGTGCGGTTGGAGGCCTTGCACGTACGAATAAGAGACCCTTATCGGCTCAAGCCGCGTCTTCACACAGTGGTAAAACATCGGACTCAGGTAAAATGTCGTCAGCGTCCAGTGGTGTTTCTCAAAAAACGCCTTCATCAACCAGAGCCACTGTAGCATTTGGAAGCTCTATAAAGTCTACTTCATATTCTCAAAATCCTATGACGGACAAAAGACCGCTTTCTGGTCGCAACTCTACTGCCTCAGGCCGTGGGAAAACGTTATCATCATCAACGTCTTTAAATCAAAAACTCTCTTCACGAATCTCAGATCAGAGGGACCCATTACCCACTAGGACCTCCAGCGCAAAGAATAGCTCTTCACTACAACGAAAAACCTCTAACGGAAGGCCTTCATCGGCTGCAAACGCCTCCAGAACAGTAAAGGAACAAAAAGTTTCAAAGCATGCCATGTCGACTGCTGGATCTAACAGAAGTTTCTTAAAATGTTCGTCAAAGGAGAAGCGCCTTTCCGTTGAAGGGGCTTGTGTTAAAATGAAGAAGGCGTCAAGAAACGCCCAAGACCAGTCTATGTCGAATTCACGTCATTGTCTTGGCGAAGTGAACGAGTTGGCTTCAAGTGATTCAAGCGAATCGTTGCTAGAGAAACGTCTCGAAGAGAGAAGTTCAACGACACGAGAAGTGGCTGAACAGGGTACTCCTAAACTGAGCGAAACCAGTCACTCGTTCGAACAAAATGCTAACGAACTACAAACAATGCATGAGAATTGCAGTCATGAAAACTCCAGTATAAGTCCTTTAGAGTGGTGACGTGATACTCGGGCCAACGGGTCTCTCACAGAAGAGTCCTTTTCACAATCCGTAAGCAAAGAGAACCCTGAGGAGAATGTGTTACCCTTAAATGACGGAACTGATGGGCTTAGTTCGAATTCATTGTGCACTGATGACTCTCCCGGTGAGGCTAAGTTCAGTGATTCACTTGAGTTAGACTAACTTGTGCTTTGGGTTAGCAAAAAGGAATGACGTTTCGATTTCCGTTTTTCTTCGAGCGTACTTTTGCTTTGGGATTTGTTTTCTTTAAAAATTATAAAGCCAGATTTTGCAAAGTGTAATCTGGATTCAAGTGTATTTAACTGAAAGTGGATAAGCAATTCATAATATAGCTGTAAATTAAAAGTCAACCAAGTGTTGTATTTATTAACTTTATTGTATTCCTGAAGTTGAGTTACTTCAATGTCCGTTTTTACGATACAATCACCAAACACGCCGGACGTTCCAAACCAGTCACAATCAATCCGGCAAAAATAATTTGTGGATAGCTAATCGTTTTACAGCTAATGTCTTGTGAACGCTAATTTCAGTTTTTGGAAGAGAAAAGAGAGATAACCCTTCAGTCTACAAACGAACGTGTAAGGCATTGATAACAAGACCATAAAAGTATATTTTAATTTAAGAGCATTTTCAAAGCCAAACACACGCTTAAACCAATTAGCAGATAATGCACATGTGCCCGCGACTTGCTCTGCTCTTGGGCTTTTGTTCGTTCGTAGACTGGAAGGATAAAAAACAGCATCGTACACCAGTTGTGGGTCGAGGAAGGGAAGGCATTCGCTGCCACACCCGAGTCGCGATGTCGAAGCTCTCCACGGAGTTTAAACTGATCCCGTCCCAGCCTCCGACGAGGTAGATTTTATTGTTAAATACGCATGCGCCCGCGTTGGATCTTGGGGTGTTCATGGGAGGGACCTGGGTCCATTCTTGCGTGTTGAAGTTGTAACACTCTACAGATCGAAGCGTGTCGTTGCCATCGTAACCCCCCAAGACGTACATTTCATCGTCCGCAACAACTGCGCTTGGGAAGGAACGCCTGTCGCGCATAGGCTGTACCTCTGTGGAACTCCAAGTGTCCCTGTAAAATAAAGATTGATAAATAGCAGTAGCATTAATTTCACTTGATAAGATGGGATGACCTTATCAAGTTTTATCGGCACAAGCAGTAAAGAATGTCGTTTAATGGAATGCCAAAAACTTTCTCACTCTTTTACGAGATCGAGCTTCTCTGATGCTAGTATGAGATTATATAATAATTAGGGGTTTTATCTCTGTTATGTAAAAGTATTTTTCTCTCCGATTTACTGATGGGTAGGCGTACAATAAAGTTGGATGGAGGGGAGAGAGGAAGTTTTCTCACCTGTCCCCACCGCCCCCTTCCCTTACTCCGAAAGAATTCTTTTTCTCGCGCGTCCCTCGGAAAACGTGCTGAACATATGAAAGAAGGTAACGCGACCCCCGGGTTCGGCATATTTTTATGACAGTGAATAATTTATACTCATGATCAGATGAACAGCTGAAATAACTTTACTTATTTAATAACCTTATCTTACCTTGTGGCGTCGTAACACTCAATTGTATTCAGAATACTTGATCCATCGTGTCCACCGATGACATAAATGTTTTTTCCATGAGCCACGGCACATATACATCTTCTTCTCGTTGGCATGGGAGCTCTGACTCGCCACCTAAGGCGAAAGTGGAAAAATGAGCCTTACTTTAAGACGAGTTGTTCAAAGTTGACTACTCCAGGCCCGAGTGCTTATCCCTTGTAATGAAATGACGAATTCATCTCATTCGTTGAATGCTAGACAATGCCCTATATTCTCTTGCAATGACCTTACTTTATAAACCGTTTTGGGTCAAGATCAATAAATGAGATCATGTAAAGCATTTCTAACTTTTGAGTCTATCGAAATCCTTTGATAACAATTGTTTTGTGAATTTGGGGTTTGGTAAGTTTTGCAAAGCCGGAAAGGGATAAATTTCAGGGCTGCCACTAAGATTTCAAGTTGCCGGATAAATACAAAAAGTAGGCGGGGAATCACACCAGTTAGGAATTTCTTTTGGTTCTATTTTTCTTCTGTTTTCCTATGAAAGTAGCCGGGGGAAATCCCCGGCCAACACCTCTTGATGACAGCCCTGATAAATGTTGTCTCTTATGATTTCGTTACCTGGTGGTCTGAAGGCCGAAAGATTCCATGGAGTTTAAAGTAGTCTGTCCGTCAAATCCGCCAACTACGTAGACATGACCGTCAATCTCCACCGATCCATGTTTGCTTCTCCTTCCAAGCATATTTGGCATGTTATGCCACTCCCTTTGACGCACATCGTAAGTTTGGGCTTAAACGAAAGGATACATAAAATTGATTCTAAATTCTTGCTTATGATCTCCCCAAAATAGCACTCACTTTCTCAAGCCTTAATATTACTGGACACCAAGGTAGAAGCCCACTCCTTTACAACGCCCGCTTTCCTCTCCTCTTCCCTTCCCCCTCAGTAGCTCCACGCCCTAACTCCCAAGAAAACTAATAGGCACCGCTAGCGTATTGTCAATACTATTATAAAGGGTGTGACGGTTAAACGGCGATTCCGCTAAACAGCATATCGGTCTTGAAGGAATTGAAGTGTAAATGTTGTGTCGTACGAAGGTAAAGGATACTAGCTCTATTTAAGGAGCGTTTTTCTACAAAGCGCTTTGGAACTGGCCTAAGCTGAGAAAACAGCCGACTTTTCTTGACTCAACTGTACACCTTGTTTCCCCGCAATTGAAGTGACGTCTGAGAAACGAGCGCAGAAATTCCATATTGATGACGTGCCACTACCCAGGTCTGGGTAGTGCTTCTGATTGGCTGAAATTTGCTTCAACCAATCAGAAGCATTTTCCAGATCTGGGTAATGACACGTCAGTAAAATGGAATTTGTGCGCGCGTTTCTCAGACATCATTGGGAAACCAGTGGTGGCGTTTTCTCGGGCTAGAACTGCATGGCAGTAAGGTTCCCAAATAATGGCTCCCGAAGTTTCAATCTACCTTTCCAATCCATTGGTGAAATTTTTTGCTTATCACAGCTAGTTCGATTCGGTTTACATACTCGGTTATCACAAACACAAAATCAGTCCATACAGTGAAAGGAGGCAAAAAAAACTGAATAGTGACTTCAGTTATTCGGCTTTGTGGCTTAGCACTATGTAATTTAATACCTA